GCTTTTCCATTTGTTCTTTTTCCTACTTCTAGAATATTCATTTTGTCTTGGATCTAGTCTTTTTTTAAAATATTTTATTGATTTTTTACAGAGAAGAAGGGAGAGGGAATAGAGAGTTAGAAACATCGATGAGAGAGAAACATCAATCAGCTGCCTCCTGCACACCCCCTACTGGGGATGTGCCCGCAACCAAGGTACATGCCCTTGACTGGAATCGAACCTGGGACCCTTCAGTCCGCAGGCCGACGCTCTATCCACTGAGCCAAACCGGTTAGGGCTTGGATCTAGTCTTTAGTTATTTTTTCTTTGTGATTTCCTGCTTTTTTTCCTGCTCTGTAATCTGAGATAATTCTTGCACTCGGTATTCTACTTCCCAAATGAGGCAGTGACCATTTCCCCATTTAATTCATCTACTGAAATGTTTAATTTGAAAATCAGATTTCTAATAAGCCAGGGTGTTTGTTTTTTGTGGCATTTGAATCTCAAGTGCCTGCTTGCAAGCTTTTTGTACACCTCCCCCAACCTCCTTGGTGTTCACTGCCTCTTTCACCAGTTCTATTTTATTGTATTTGTGTTCTGAATACTTATTCTCATTTTCTTTCTGGGTGGTTTGGCTTCTTAGAAACAGTTACTTTTCCATGGTGGTTCATTTGTGCTGAGGTCTGCTTAATGAAAACAGAAATTGCTAATGGTGATAAACCTATCTCTGATTAAAGGAAATAAATTATTTACCTGTAATGTTAAAGGCAAGCTGTTGGCCCCTCTGAGGGCACTGAAGAAAATTTTGTTTTCTGGCTCTTCTCTTGATTGCTCATCTGTTAATAAGCTCTGTCAAAAAACATGGATTGGCAAGTAAACTTCCTTCTGGAGTTGACCTCCACAGGCCAGTTTCTGAATCTCAGATCATGTGTTGTCTCCAGTGCCTTTGCTCAGTTTTGAATGAAGAAGAAGCCCTGTGCCAGGGACTCAAAAGCTCTCAAATCTCAATTTGCCTGGATGAGGCCTAGCTCTATTAGTGAAAAATGATCCCTCCACAAATTGTTTTTTGAGTTGTCAATCATTATTAAAGGTACAAATTGAGTTCTATGAATCACTTTGGAAAGTTTGTATGCTAACAGTTGTATGTATTTGAAGTGCCATCTTCTGAACCATCTCTAGAGGCTTAGTCCTTCTCCAGGTGTACTGGATCTTGGCTTTTTTTGTGTAATTCAGGTTTCCTTTCTCCCATTGGTACCTCCCAACTCCACCAGTAGGAGTAATTATGAAGTTGGCTGTGTAATATGTACCTGTCTTAAAGCAGAGGTATTGAGACTTCAGGAGGACTTGAGTTTTATTGATGGGCATTTACCATACTTAGGACTATCAAATTTGTATGTACATCCTGGACCTTTTCTCTTACCTTCAGACTCATGTGTCCATTTGCCTACTTGATATCTTCACTTAGTTGTCTAATAAGCCATCTTAAATGTAATAGAACTAATTCCTTTGCCTGCCCCAAACCTCCTCCATCATATACAGGACACTACTATTCTTCCAGTTGTTTAGGCCAAGACTACTGGACTCATTCTTGATACTTCTCTTTCTCACCCCATTTCTAATCAGTCTTTCAGTAAGTTTTGTTGTCCCTGATTTAAAAATGTATTCCAAATCCAAGCACTTTTCACTAACTGCATCTTTCACCCTGGTCTAAGTGCTAATTATTTTGCTAGCCTTCTTACTGGCCTTCCTGCTGCCACCTTTACTCTTCTTCACTCTAATCAGCAAAATAGCCCTTAAGAGCTCCTTGGTGACAAGTGAGACTGGACTGTTAGTTTTCTCATGCTCTTCATGGCAGTGTTAGTATCAAAGTATTGCTAATGTCAAAATACATCAGGAAATAGGCCTTTTCTGGTTTCTGGAACAGTTGGTGTAAGTTTAGAATTAATTGTCAAGTCTGGGACAATCAGATGCACCTGTAAAACCGTATGAGCCTGGTGGCTTTTTTGGGGGGTAGATTTTTGTTGATTAAACTTCTTTAGTTATAAGTCTCTTCAGGTTTTCTATTCTTGAGTTTATTGTGGTAAATTGTATTTTTAGGAGCTTGTCAATTCTTTAGCTTTTCCTGTATACTGGCATATTTACATTAATGGTATTTTTATTTTTTAGCTGTATCTGTCTTCATTATATTATTTATGTTTAATTTTTTTAAATATCATTCTTTTCAGAGATTTTTTTTTTCCTATTGTTGGATTTCTTCCTCCCCTTCCCCCAGCTTTAAATTGTAGTTCTATGGTTCTTTATTTTTGCTTTGGTTTCATTTTTTCTGCTGCAATCTTATTTTATTTCTTCTACTTTGGGGGACTTACTGCTACACATTTTTAACATATTGGAATTTCCAAATGTGGGTAAGTTGTGTTTTTTTTTTTGTTGGGATTATCTGTTTTGCTTCTAAAATTTATGTCAGAAAATGTTATCTGCATGATACTGACTCTTTGGCATATTGTTACTTTTTTTCTTTGTTCAATGTGCTCTGTCATTATTTGGCTATTTTCTGTATATTTAATCTCTATTTTTACTAACTTGTCTGCTCTAACAATTACTAAGAGAAATATGTTAAATTCTCAATTTTTTTTTCAAAGTTCACTTTTAAAAAATATATATATTTTATTGATTTTTTACAGAGAGAAAGGGAGAGGGATAGAGAGTTAGAAACATCAATGAGAGAGAAACATCGATCAGCTGCCTCCTGCACACCTCCCACTGGGGATGTGCCCTCAACCAGGGAACATGCCCTCGACCGGAATTGAACCTGGGACCTTTGAGACCGCAGGCCGACTCTCTATCCACTGAGCCAAACTGGTCAGGGCTTAAATTCTCATTTTAATTAGGAACCTGTCTTTGTAATTCTGACAACTTTTAATATATAAAGTTGTCATTTTAGTTTAATATTGTTACAGCTTTAAGGAAAAAATTTCTTATTCAGTATGTAGTGATCATTTTATCTCCAACAATGGTTTTTGCCTTAAAGCCCATTTGTCTTATGGTAATATAGTGATACCAGTTTTCATTTAGTTTGCTTTTATTACTTTGAACTTTCCTGTGCTCCTATGTTTTAAAGTTATTTCTTATAAATCATGTGTGACTGGATGTAAATTTTTAAAATCTGAGCTGCTATTTTGTGTTGTCATTGATGAATCTACATTTTTTGATTGCTTGATAGAAATGTATATTTCTGCCATCTTATTTTGTGCTTTAATTAATCTAGATCTTTCTAACTCTCTCCCACTTTTCTGTCTTATTTGAAGTTCTTTATCCTGTGAGTTAGCGGTTATGTGTTATGTACATGGATTATCATCTACTTTATAATATGTATTTTTTATTGATTTGTTTAGAATGTGTAGTTTATTATAGTTCAAACTGAAACAGCATCTTTAACTTTTATTTAAATAACACATGATCCTCATTGATATAACTGATCTCCCTGGAATTAAACCTCTCTTTGTCTAACTTTTCCTTAAGTAGTGTGGCCTTTGTTTTTATAGTTTGGGGCTCTTCATGGAGTTGATGAATTTCTCTAGTTTTGATCAATCATATTTTATGGGAAGAATGAGCAATGTGCTGTTAACATCCTCTTGCTTTATCTATAATACCGTGTTTTATATCTAGCTATTTAAAGCAGACTTCAGATTTCTCATACAAATCTGTTTCATCTTCTGAGAACCAAACTTTATGTTTAGGCTGGATTTATGTTTAGGGCCTTTGCAAAGTTAGGTTAAGTTTCACGGTACCAATTTTGTGTGTGTGTGTGTGTCTTTTCCTTTATGTTGTTTGGTTTTTGTTTTTGCTTATCCTTTTGAGATGTGATTAATTAGCTCTATCTTTTTCATGTTTGTTTTATTTTTTAATTTCAGAATATCTTGCTGATACTTATGTGACTATGAAATAAGTTTATTTGTAGTTATGTAGTAGGACATATAATTAATAGCTTTCTGTATTAAATACTGTTACTCAGGTTCTAGGATTATGTTTAAATGAATTTGGTAACAACTTACAGTTCTCTAATTTTCTGATGTTGTCACAGAGGACAGTAAACTAGTTTGACCATTTGTAAAGTATATTCTTACTTATTGTGGAACATGAAAAATAAAATGAAAGTAGTGAAAGCAAAGAGTCTTATAATGTGTTAAACACAAGTGTTTTTTAGAGTGTGGTTCTTGGACCAGCACTATTAGGATTTCCTGTGAACTTGTTAGAACTGCAAGCTCACAGGTTTGTTCAGCTTCTGAGTTTGGGGACTCAGTAGTGTTTCCACAAGCCATCCAGGTGATTCTGGTGTTGCTGAAGTTTGAGAACCTCTTAGTTACACAAAGATGGTACAAACACACTGATGCATTCAATTGAAAGAAGTTTTATAGGTAAATATATTTGGTTAATAAACATGAAAACATCACGTAGTTTAACTTTTGTTCAAGGGGATTCTGCTTTATAAGAAGAAATTAATCAGTGTTAATGTTTCTTGATGTGGAAAGTTATACTGAACATGAGAATATGATACCGAGGAAGTTTGTGATTCAAAGTATTTTTATTAACCCTGAAAATTTAATAGGACTCTTTTCCAATTTCCTTTTCTATTAACCCTACCTGAGCAAATAGTTTTGAAATTGCTACAGTCTCCTTTTAGTCTCTTTGATACCTCATTATCAAAAACTCTTTGAAAGGGCTAGAAAGATATTATTGTAATGTCTTCACCTTAACCAAAATACTGTGGGAAAATAGGGATGTGGAGAGGGCCTTTACTCTCCTGAAATAAATGTTTGTAGTTTTTACTTAAAAATGATTTGTGGTGATCATCCCACTATGGTGTGTAGAGATAATAGTAAATCAGTTTTAACTAATTACTTGAATTAGTATTTGAAGAACTTTTTATGGAAATGGTTTACATTATATTAATTTAAATCTTATATAAATGATGGCATTTTGTTACATTTTTTGTGTGTGTGTGTGTTGTTGTTTTTTTCCAGGAGAGAAATAGAAACAAACAATAACCATATGAAGATGTCCTCTTAGAATTACAACACTAATGATGTAGACTCTGGAAATGCCTAATAAGTCAAAGAAGACATTATTAAAGCTTTTTTTTTCTGCATAAGGTGACATCTTTGAACTTTTTAACACAGAATTGACTCTTGTAATGATTTTCATCAGCGCATCTGCCCTTATATTCTCACCAAACACACTTGAGAACTGTAACTTCGTCAAGCACTTTCTGTCCTGAAGCTTTTACCAGTATCTGCTGTCTTTTGTAATTATGCATCCTAGCTAAGGCACAGAAGACTGAATGAATGCAAAGATTCATTAACTCTTTGAATTTGTTAAATACTAACAGTTAACTATTAGAAGTGGTTCAATGATGTAAGAGTCACATTGCTTCAACATTTCTTTGTTGTAGTTTTTAAATTGTCGATTTTTAGCTATTTGACAGATTAAAAGCAAAATAATCATGCCATATTTAGTCCTGGAGTTCAAGTCTAAATGTTTATGTGAAGAATTATTGTAGTAAACTTTTAATATGGCAAAGCAACCTTAAGCTCTATTTTAGCCAAATGAAACATAATCTGAGATTATATTAGAACATTTTCCTTGTCTTTAAATTGTTTGGTGTAACAGAATATTGATATGCAGCTTGGTGGATTTCACCAGTTAATGCACATTCTTCTTTCCTCCTTCCCCCAATAATATGTAAACTGAAAAATGTGCATTTGTCTGAGGAATTATTTTGTTTGCTACCACTTAATGAATCTCAAAATTTTGAGTAAATGTACCTCAGTCTAATCAGACTTTTTATGACCTTTATAACTACATTTAAAATCCTTAATTCCTATTTCTGGGTGTTTGCGAGCCTGATTGCTATCATGAAGTAAACATTTATTACTCTAGGTATTCACTAGCTAAATAAACATAGTTCTTGTTTAGCAAGCATATACTGTTCAACTCTTTTCTCCAGCTTTTGCAGTGTCCTGGCATCCTTAAAATACTTTGAAAATATGGCCTTGATCCATGGATTAAATCAGTATCTAAGTGAATGTGTTGATGTTTTATTGATCAGATCTATATAAATGGGAATACAGCATATATCTGGATATTCTTATAGTTATCTTTTTAACATCTTATTTTTTTCATTAGTTACATATCAACATTAATTTTGTGTCTTGAAGCAAATTGATTTTGTATAATTAAACGTGTCATCTGTATTAATTGATCTGATGGCATATGGTTATTAAGATAATGTACTGCCCCTTATATTACTGTTCCAAAAGGAGAAAGCTATGTAGAAAGATATAAGGGTGAAATAAGGGTGAAAATAGCAATACAGTAGATTTGAATACCTTGGTGTTTTGCATTACTGCATTTATGTTTACATCATGTTTAGAAACCTTTTCATTTACATTTACATATTTGATCACTTCAGTTCAAAATTTAGTGGCAGATATTTCTTTGAGTTTTTCATTTATATAATTTTTTTGTACAATGTTTTCTTAAAATGTGCAAATGCTGTATTCAAGTGAAATAAAATACAGTATTTGTAGATAATCGTAGCTATTTCACAGGTCTTTGGTAGTCCCATTGTAGTTATATCAGTGTTTACTGAAGGGAACATTAAAATATTAATGGTATATTACAAAATAAAGACTTTCTTAAAGGAAAGTTGCACCTATTTTACCTTTTTAAGAGTAAGCCATGAAATCTTATCTTGTGACATGTCTCTTAACTATTTATAATAAAAATTGGCATTTGGGTATAGTAACCACAGCAATGTTCTACATCCCTAAGATTATATAGGTAGGACATGTCAAAGATGACTGTAGTCACTCTGGAGGTCCTATTAGAGAACTGTAAAGGGAGACCTCATAGAAAGGATATGAGTCCTCACTCTGAGGTTCACTTTTTCTGGTGCTTTATTAGCAACTCTGAATATTTTTATAAAACTAGTTACATTATAAATGGATTGAGTGTTTGATTTACATTTGGTTTTTATGTAAGAAGTGTCACAGAAACACGCAGCAAGCGGGCTGATTGCAACGGCAGACTCGGAAACGTCTAATGTAATTGAGTAGTCTGCTCATCGTGAGGTGTACATCCCAGTGCCTTTAACCTGGATTTCTAATATCAAGTGAAATGGGTGCAGCATTCCTTTGGAAATAAAAACTTTATCTTTTCAATCGGTAATTATTTTTTCCATTTTACGATTTCTTCAGAGCACCTACTTTCTCTTCCTCCTTGGTCTATCAATATATTGCAAAATGTTTTCCCTCTAAATGAAATGATCACAGGTTGTCTAAATAGCACAACTAACTGAATGTTTAACTGTAGCGACCAAAAAGGAGAGAACCTGGGCTCCACAGCAGGAAACACATAATCAAATGTTTGAATAATCACAAATTAAGACATGCCCAGGAAATTTCTTGCTTAATATTTTTCCAAGATTTGGTTTGAATGTTTCTTATTAAAGTTATCTTAAGTGAGTATTTTATTTTGGAAGGTATAATAGTTTGTATATTTAACAGTAAGGGGGAAAATGTAACCAAAATTAGTATTCTGTCTCTATACTTATTGGTACTTGAAGATTCCTTTCAAAAGAAACCCCAGCCTTTTCATAATTTCAATACTTAATTCCTCATTTTAACTTGTGATCTTTCTAATTCAAAAGCTGTTCTCTTTTTGAATACCATGCATGGAGGTTAAGCTGATGATAAAATGGTTTGCAATAAAAAAGAGTCAGCTTAAGTCATTTAATCATTTCAAGTGCTTTCTGCATCCTATAAAAAGTTTGAGACATTTAAGAGAATTGTGTTTTCATTAAGTTTTGCATATCTTTTGTTATGCCATGTAAATTCCCTTTTTCGTATGATTACAGAAAGGTTATGATAAAATGATTATTAGTTCATTTATATTCACTTGTAGCAATTACATGAGAATTTGAATTTTGTCATGTTTGGGTTTGTTCATTCCCGTGAATGATGGTACAGATAGGTGAGCTTTTCTGTTATGGTACCCAAACTCACCATTTGGTCCTCTTTAATCTTTGAGGGTTTCAATAAAAATTGTTCACTCGTATCTGTGTTCTTTCCTTTTATCTTTATAAATATGTACTGTCTGCTGGGAAACACAACATTGTTGTCGACACTGTCCTGGGTTTCCTGATTGACAGATCTTTCAAGCACAGAGAGATTATAGCACTCATTTTAGCTGGGCACTTAAGTGGGAGAATCAGAGAAAGGGAGGTTAACCATTTATCCTAATCATTGCCCAATTAAGTGGGAGAATCAGAAAGGGAGGTTAACCATTTATCCTAATCATTGCCCATTTAAGTGATTTTATTGAATACCATGACGAAACTTAGAGGAAAAGAGAAAGAGGCCTGTTTATGTTCATGTAAGAGGAGGAAGTAGTGTCACCAGCTAAGAACCTTGATCCTCCATTCTTGGTACCAAGGAATGCTTTTCTAATGATCTGTACATTATCCTTTGGGTAGATAGAGCTTATGTCGGTAGGATTATGGTGACTCTGGATGATACATTTATCATTTCAGGGTTATCTAAGGTACTTGTTCTGATGGGGGAAAACCAGAGTTCAGGTTTGTGATGTCAATACCTGCTGGAAGCATACAACACTGTTGGCCTGTGACCAAGGCAGAGTTTTCTGGAACCACCCCAAGTGTCCTACATTGCAGTATCATCAGAAGCCTCCTTTTTACTGATCAGCGAATGGGAGGGTTTGTATGTCATCAGTACACTTGTATTTGAGATCATACTTCTTACTGACTTGGCTTTATCTTGATTAGGGGTACTAGATATAGTACTTAACTGACGAATTCAAGCTTGTTTGCTTTCAAATCACTGTACTTACCATTGCATAATCTTGATGTACATGTAGTCTTTCCCCAGTCCTCTTCGTGCAATGGAGAGAAGCAGAACTCGCCTATATATCACCTAGTAGTGACAGTTTAAATAGTTTATAAATAGTGAACTAAATTCAGTTTGTCTACCTATAATTTGTTAACCTGTACAACATTGGTACTAAATATAAATTGTTTCTGTAAAACTTAGTATGCAAGGAAAATGGATGCAGAGAGTTTGTAACACTGGTGGGTTCCGCATTCCTTTCTGCTATCCCACTTCCAAAGAATACATATAATACACTTAGATATTTAGATATTCAAGTGCCATTTTAAAATATGGGAGCCCTAGCTGGATGGCTCAGTTAGTTGGAGCACCATCTCCTGCACCAAAGAGTTGCAGGTTCAATCCCTGTCGGGGCCAGTCAGGGAGGCAGCCGATTGCTGTTTCTCTTTCACATTGATGTTTCTCTCTCTCATCCTCAGGTGAGGATTAAAAAACATATATTTTTTAAAAAGGATATTTCTGACACCTCATAACCAGAGTGGAATTATACTGTGTCAGGAAAGAGCTTAAATTCAGCAGTAGAAAGACCAGACTTCCATCTAACTGGTAGAATGATACTGAACAGACCATTTCCTTTGTAGTTAGTGCACTTAGTAAATTCCAGGACATTGGTGTAGAATGCATCTAAGGTTCTTTGCCATTTTGAGAGGCTATGACCTACTCTAGCAATGGCAAATGGTTCTTTTGAAAGTATGTTTGGAAGGCAATATAATTTTTAATATTCATCCTTTATTTTCAGAGTGTAGGTAATGAATACCTCAGATTGTATTTTATTCAATCTGATCAAATGTGACCACTACTTCTCTTAAGTGAATTTTGAAGTCTAGTGGTACAAAATCTCCATCTTTTCCACTGTGCTGGGTAAAAGAAGCAAGAGTATGTGTGTCCCAGAGAACTCCAAGCTTTTTTCTGTTCTGCCACTTTACATTATACTTGATTTTTTTTTTAATGGATTTTGTTTTTTAGAACAGAGCTGCAGAAAAAATTGGGAAGACAGTACAGAAGTTCCCATATACCTTGCACCCAGCTTCCCCTGTTAACATCTTACATTAGTATGGTACATTTGTTACAGTTAAGGAGCCAATATTGACCCACTTTTTCAATAAAGATTTTAAAGTTTTTATCTGATGTCTTTTTTCTGGTCCAGGATGCCACATTACTATTAGTTGTTAGGTCTCCTTGGGTTCCTCTTGGCTGTGATGGTTTCTCAGACTTGTTTTTGATGACAGTATTGAGGAGTTCAGTTTACATGTTTTACAGAACGTTCCTCCTTTGGAATTTATCTTGTGTTTTTATAATGACTTAAAAAATTTTTTATTGATTGATCTGAGAGAGAAACATTGATTTGTTGTTCCAATTATTTATACATTTTTGGTTGATTCTTATATTTGCCCTGACTGAGGATCGAATCTACAACCTTGGGATATCGAGACAACTGAGCCACATGGCAGGGTTGTTGAGTTTTATGATTAGACTGTGATTAACGAGTTTTGGGGAGGAAGACCACATAAGTGAAGTGCCATTTCCATCGCATCATTATGAAGGCCATGGCCTGTTGATACTGACCTTGATCACCTGGCTGAGATAGTGTCATTTTCTCCATTCTAAAGCTACTTTCCCCCCCTCTTCCTCCTCTTCATACTGTACTCTTTGGAAAGAGGTCACAGCCCACCTTTGAGTGGCTAATTATGCTCCCGTTTACCCTTGTGTTTTGAAAGAGGAAATGGGAATCTATTTTATTACTTCTTAGCCTCATGTCAACAGGCTTGTGAGTGAATATGTTTTCTTTTTGTATATTTTTAGAATTCCCACCCTCCTTCCCCTTCCCCATTTTTCAATAGAACAATTATATATTGGAAGAATTCTAATGAATACTCACACCTACTCCCTGAATGCTAATTGTGTGCAAAGCAGAGTGATGATTTTATTTTATTTTTTTTCTTTCTTTTTTTTAAATTTTTTTTTTTACAGTTTACTGCCTGGTACAATTAAGTTTTCAAATATTTATTTCAATTAGCCAATTAGTCTGAAATAAAGTTTATTTTTATTGTTATTTTTAACTTTAGTAGTCCTAGGTTATAGACAACAAATGATGTTAATTAAGTTTCTGCAATTAGCCTTTGAGTAACTTTACACTAGTTTTGTCAAAGAGGCAAAAACACAAATTATTTACCTTTTATATGAGGCCTAATATAATTAATTTTTAATTGCAGTCCTTCAGATATTTGAAGGAAACTTCTCTTTGTTTACTTCCAGAATAACTTTCAGGCCATACTTAGAGAATTTCAACTAAAAAGAATTTTTGTCTTTCTTTTTACACTAAGCAACAAATGTATCAAACATGGTTGCCTTTTTTCCAGAGTGATGATTTTAATAAAGGATTGAAGGTGTGTTAAAGAGAAGATTCAGATTATGTCAAAATATCTTTTATTTTGTATTTTTATGATCCAGGAAAGTCATTTTTAATTGAATTTATTGGGGTGACATTGGTTCACAAAATCATACAGGTTTTATAAGTGTACAACTCAAGGAAACATTATCTGCACACTGCATCATGTGCTCACCACCCCAAGCAAAGTCTTTGTCCCCATCCCCTGCCCCTTTGCCAACCTCCCACCCCCATTTCCCTCTGGCTATCACCACATATTGGCATATATATATTTTTTAATGGAATGCTTTTGAAGCTCTTCTTAGGCTCTGGCCAAGAACATAGACTTTGATGTCAGATAAATCTGTCTTGGAATCCTGGGTCCACTAAACTAGCTTCGAGCCTAGATTTCCTCATGGACTAAAAAATCCTATATAATAAAAGCCTAATATGCTAAGTGTCTGGTCGGCTGGTCAGCCATTCAACCAATCAAAGTGTAATATGTTAATGATATGCTAAGGCTGCTCAACCACTTGCTATGATGTGCACTGACCTCCAGGGGGCAGACGCTCCAATCTGTAGGTTAGCTTGCTGCTGGGGTCCGGCCAATCGGGATTGAGTGAGACCGGCTGGACACGCCCTGGAGCCCTCCCACAGTCCCTCCCCAGCTGGCCAACCTCCCTCGTGGCTCCTTGGCCCCAATCGTGCACAGGTGGGGTCCCTCAGCCTGGCCTGCACCCTCTCGCAATCAGGGCTGAGGGGCCCCCTCCCCCGAGTGCACAAATTTTGTGATCCGGGCCTCTAGTATATATATAATAGAGCTTATTTCAAAAAGATTAAGTGAACTAGTATAAAGTGCTTAGCACAATCCTGGGCCTATGGCAAGCAAGCCCTTAATGTTAACTTCTCACATGTTAACTATCCTCTTTTTTCTTATGGAGAATTTAGAATTTATTGATTGCCATTGAAGATTTCTTAGGATAATCTTCACTGCTTCGAAGGTTGTAGAAAGTTTCTTTCAGTTCATATTACATCATTGAGATCCTGAGACCAGTCACTGCCTGAATAAAACTTAGTTAAATTACTGTTTATCTTTATTTTTGCAACTTTTGGTTTCTAGAGTTTTCAGTGATTGCAAGCCATGCTTTTGTTAAGTAAAATGTGACAACATAGAGTTAGTTTATCCTGCTAGAGCAGAGCAGATGGCAGAACTAAAGACCAATTAGACGAAAAGGAAAGCAAAAGTGTAATAATAACACGAAAACCTATGAATAATAGAAGACAGGTGAAAGATGAAAATTAGATCAGAAGTGTTTTTGTTTTGCTTGTTATAAATGCCCATTGATATGGATTTCATGTACGTATGTTAGTAAATTGTAAGAATTTACTAACAATTCAAATTGTAAGAAATACTTACAATTCAACATGGAAACACTGATGTGTTACCTAGGTGATACTGTTCAACTTTAGAAGGAAGAGGTATTTGCCATAAAAGAAGATGGCGGCCCTGGCCGGGTAGCTCAGTTGGTTAGAGCACTGTCCCGAAATGCCAACATTGTGGGGCACATACAAGAATCAACCAATGAATGCATAAATATATGGAGCAAAAAATTGTTCTCTCTCATCAATAAGTAAAATTTTTTTAAAAAGATGGCAGTTCTAACTCCTCTAGTATACAAAAGGAATGTATCTTGAGGTTAAAAGTTTACAAATAAAGCTTCAACATAATATTGTTGCATGCTAACATTAAAACTGTTGTCTCCACCTAGTATATTAAGCTTATT